AAACACACGCTATAATTCACAGCAATTCACACACTTTACTTACGGTGTCTACTGCTCACTTGACTCAATTATCTATATCTTTAATCTATCTCCGGCTTATATACTAAAAAAAGAACGTCTTGCAAACGCTGGAACATTCGTGAGGTTCCCCGATCCTTCTAGAAACTCCAATCATGCATGCTCCCAGCGTCACGTGACTTCCACTGTCATAACACTGCTCCTTCCTTAATATTGTTCGTCCAAAACAATAGCACTTACATTAAACCAATATATAATGAACAATAACTTAATTAAATGTACAGAATTTACAAACACAAAATTAAAATTCAACAAAGTCTTAATTTTACGGGACATATCTTCTTCCATATTGGTCTCAGTCTCATTGGATTCTGCTTCACGTGGATCTCATCTGCTCCATCAGGAAATGTCCTATTATCGGTAACAGTCACATCAGTGGTAGTAACTTCATTAAGAGCTTCACTGTTTCTTTTCTCAAAACTGGGTAGAGTTTCTTCTTCGACAGTAGCTTTTTCAGGTGACATGTCTTAAGCTGCATTATTTACTTCATTGTTCACTACATTCCACTGAAATGTCCTGGACCATGATAATGCCAAAGCCTGTTGGCATGCGCCACCTTTGGCTTACCTCGACGATCACATTTTTTCTGAAAGTCACGTCTGAGAGACGATCCACTATGTCATATGGGCCTTCCCATGGAGAAAACAACTGAGGAGACTTCCCTTTGGTCTTCCTGGGAGTATACAACCACACCTTGTCTCCTGGTACAATGCTGACTCTTATCATAACATAGCTTCATGGAATCTGCAGACGTTTTCAAGTTTGAATGCACTTGATGGTGAATATCATCCATCCTCTCAGATAACACTTTCACGAACTCTGAAGCATTTTCAGGCAACTCTTCATAAGGTGGGCGTCCTGTTATCAGGTCTACTGGCAACCGAAGTTTTCGACCAAACATCATCTTTGCTGGTGTGTATCCAGTGGTTTCATGCTCTGCTGTCCTATAGGCCATCAACAGTGGAGGGAGTAAGACATCCCAGTCATCTTGGTGGCTATTACAAAACTTTGCCAATTCCTGTCCCAGTGTCCAGTTGTACTTTCTACCATCCCATCAGAATGTGGGTGAAGTGGAGTTGTTCTGGTCTTTCATATGCCAAACGACTTGCAGCATTCATGGAACACAGCTGATTCAAAGTTATGGCCTTGATCTGATTGCAGTTCATATGGCATACCAAATCTGAAAAAGAAATTACTAATAGCCGAAGCTACAGTTGTAGCTTTCTGATTTGGTATTGCATATGCCTCAGGCCACTTGGTGAAATAACCATCACCACACAAATAGTACTTGTTTCCAGCACGAGGACCAGCAATGTCAATGACCACTCTTTCCATTGGTGCGCCAACTTGATATAACTTCATTGGAGCATGTCCCTTATGCTTGAATCCCCTTTTAGAACAACATGTACTGTATGTCCTGCACCATTCTTCCACATTTTGCCTCATACA